TGTTCATATGGCCAGCTAGAGAATACTGTTTAATTAAAATGCTAGCTAAACAGAAAGGTCTTTGTCTGCGGGGAGGACGCCCGAGGGACCTCCGTGCCGTGGGGCGAGCAGAGGGCGCCGGGCGAGCAAGCGAGCGAGTCCCAGCCGCTGGGACGTGGGGCGCGGAGGCGGCGGCGGTGGTCTCTGCCTGCCTGCCTGCCTGGATGATCGGGAACCCCGGTTCTGCTTGAGCGGAGATCTCCCTCTTAAGCTCGGGATCGACTTCTGTCGACGGGAGGGGGCGATAAGCCCCTTCCCCCCCTCTGGTTGTTGCCCTTGGTCTTCCTCGGCCGCCGATAACCCCCTCCCCTGCCCACCCCACCCCCGGCGATCGCTCCTGGGGCCGGAGCCCCGACCGATCCCTCTTGGAGGCCCCGACCGATCCCTCTTGGAGATTTTTCCAAAACGCTTGACTTGGTGGCGGTGCAAAAGAGAGGGATGGATGCAGGGAGAAAGAGAGCGGGCGAGAGGATGATTGGGGCGGGGGGGGAAGAGGCAGGAGTCGCCCTTCCGTCGCGCGTGGTCACGCAGATGACAGACCAACAGCTGTGATCCGCCGAGGGGGCTGGTCCTTATTCCATCAGAGAGACGCATCGATCCCCTTCAGGTATCGCGCCGGATGACAAGCGGGGAGGGGGGGGCGAGCTCCTTTTGTCGCCCACCGTGGATATGGGCAAACCTCCCTGCCCCCCTGGGTCCAGGTTTCCTCGGGAATCCAGATCAGGGAGAGGATGGCGGGGAGCTAGGATGTGTGGTGCTTCTGTATGAGGATGGGATGGGGGGGGCGGCTTCCTCCCTCCCCATCTCTGCGGGTGCCTTTCGGGAAGCAGGCTTTGGAAGTCCAGGGGAAGGCAAACTGCAGAGGGACACCAGTGCCCCCCCCCCCCCGTGCTCCTGCTTTTCCTTTTTTTTTTTCCTTTTCTTAAAACATCGTCTCCTCCTTTTCTCCTCCTCTAGTATAGCCTGCAGATGACAAAAGAGGGAAGCAACTTCCTTCCCCCCCCCACTTTCCTGGACTATCCAAAGGGCTGGCTTCATTTTCCCCCTTGCCAAGGGGCTAGGAGGAGGCAGCCCGTCAGGAGGACTGCACCCTCCAGCCCCCGAAGCCCCCCTACTCCACCCTACAGTTTCCCTACAGAAGGAAGAAACCTGGGAGGTATCGCATCTTTACAGCTGCTCTTTGGTGTAAATTGCAGTGTTGTAACGGGTGGGGAGCTCTTCTCCCTTTTTTTTAATACAATATAAGGAACTGAGAAGATCGGAACTGCACAGCTGGGTGTTTCTGACATTTTTTAATCTAACGTGCCTTTTTTTGTTTTTTGTTCTTGTTTAGTTTCGGACCCTGCCTGGAAGGGAGGGGGACAGATCCTTGCCTCACCCAAACCCAGCCTTTTTTTCTCCTGTTGTAACGA